ATATGTTACTACGTGGAACTAACAAATCAATATTATTTTTTGTCATTATTATCTTAATAGTATATTATGATTCGTCCTTCTATCTTTGATTTCGTGAGCATGTTTTTGCTAAGAGGAGTTAGCGGACTATTGATCACAACAACGGGTCCCATTAGGCAACATCCGTTGTATGTGTTGTTACAACGCTTGAGAAGAAACCTAGAAAAGAAACTGTTGCAACTCAACCTAAAAATGACAGAGTAACGTTTCAAATATTGACAGTTGGAATAGAGAATCAATACGACACACGATACAACTGTTGAATTTTAAGCAGATGAAGATAATAAATATGGATAGTTGAAAAAAAAAACTTGAGCCTGTACTTATTTTTACGACGGAGGGTGCGATTAGAGATCACATTTAATATCGTACGCGTTATTCTAGGTAAATTAAAAGAATCAGGTAGTATCATAGACTGCAGAAGACACAAGACAGATTCAGAGGCACATATCATAGGTCTAAAGACTTTTACGTGCCATTTTCTGAACAAATCACAAACGTCATTGTGCACCCAATCAGGCTAAACGGTACGCTCCATATGAGATACATTGCTGATGAGAAATTTGTCGAATCGCTGGATTCACTATTTCATCCTTTTGCAAAATTAGTTTTAAGGCTTCTCCAATAAAAAGAAAAACACGTCTGTTTGTCTTCTTAGAGCAACTGCAAGTTCAAAAAAAAAAAAAAAAAACTACATGTATTCTACCGTTCAAACTTATGCTGCTTCTACTTAGATATACCTAACTAAAAAAAAAAAGCCTTAGGATATCTAGCTATGAATCAGTCACTTGAGAAAGTATAGAACCGGCGTGTTTTAAAGCATGCAGCTTTTAAATCGTTCCACAGTTCAAACCAGCAGGTTCTTCCTGGTAAAATAATTCCCTCTAGTTTTTTGCTCGATTCGTATGGCAACCTCTGTTTAATAGCAATACGTTTCCACCCATATGTTTATCGATCGAACAGGAGTAAAGTAACAGAAGTTCTCCATCGTGGGTGAGCGCGAAGTTAAGTAGTTTAATATTAACCTGTGAACTGCCCGAAGTTTACCGAAATTAAATACAGCGTCGTTTCTGATTGGCACACTTGTTCTGTATTTAGCTAGGCTGTTATTTGAAATTGTGATGCTATTTGAGTAAGATATTTTTTTACATTGATCTTATGGCTTCTTTGCAACGTGTCTTATGAGAAGTGATTTCTAAAGTAGAAATACAAATACTTTTACAAAAATCTTGACATCGGCAAACGATGATGTGAGTCGTCGTTCACGTTCACGCTACATCTTCTTAACGGTACTAATGGCGAAACAACCCAGTACACTGGGGTAATTCAGACAAAAATTCTGTATTAGGCACGAAAGTAGCAAACCCAGTTGCAGAAGTGATCTCAGCCAATGGTGGAGGACCAAATACTAGTCTCTTTCATATAAGTGGCCTTCGTTCAGCAGCAATCTATAAGTCTTTAGCACAGAAATGCCCCAGATCGAAGGTTTTGACCATTGAAATCCGCCTCTTCCCAATTTGAAGTTGAAAAACAATTAAAACAACTAGAGGTGCTGCATTAACGGTAACCAGTCAGTCAGCTTGTGTAAGCAGAAAACTAGGTACAAATTTTGAATTCACGGATCATTTTTCCAAACCACTACACACTTCAATCTTTATTTAAACACGCGCTGCGCGATTAACCCCCTATATAAGTAACAGAGCCTATTCAATACAATAGCACGGCAAGAATATAATAGCGGTTAATTCAACAGGAGTACTTGTAGCATAGACCTGAAAGTTTAGAATACCCATTTACAAAATGTACTGTATAGCAAACTTTGACACTTTCAAAAACAATTGCTTGATCTTCTTCCCCTTCTGCTTTTCGGGAATAAATCCCGAAATCATCCAATGAAAACGAACAAGGCTTCCCCCGGGGTTTAAAGCAGCTGGGGCAATGTTTCTGTGATAGGCATCGTTAATTAGCCAGTGTTCAATGAATACGACCCCGTAGCTGCGTTGCTTTGATTACGTTTGCTTTACCTAATTATCCTCGATTACATTTTTTAGTTGTACTCCTAACAATAATAAAAACAACTGGACTTTAATATACATGTGTCCCTGTTGTACAAATCCAATGGTGACGAGCTCATCAGCAATATAGGTAACTCTGATAGAAGGTACATCTTTCCGTGCTGCTTACCAAATATGGCTGTATCCAATGGTCTAATGCTTGTGAGTGATATATATACATCTACGCAAAAAGTTTGGGCAATCAATTGAATAGCTTTGTTGTCGATTAAATTTCGATCAGTTTATCTTTTACAATCATTAAACTTCACAGGTTTTAGACAATGAAGAAAATAATGTCATGCTCTTCTCAGATGAAACAATCTAGCTGCTAGGTTTTGTCTAGTTTTATTACCTACACCGAAGTCTAATATATGAATATATTGAATAAATCGGGTACAATCTTTCTATGATCCCCCTCCAACCCCATCTCCTATTCTCATGCTCCCCCATGGAGGGTTAGCCGCCGGCGTTACATAATTTTGACTTCTGTGACCGGCTTCTACCCACTGGCAGATTGGTTCACTCGCGCTCGCGCGCGCGCGTTCTTCCGACCGTTGGAATTACCGTTGGCGTAACTGGTGGCTGACGAGTTTTGTCCGCCTATCAGTTTGACTCTCCTGTACTCGGCGGAAGGGAAGAGTGTGCTTGCGGAGGCATGAGGCTGTTCGTTCGTTTGTCAACCGTTCGAGAGGGACCCAGCGAGTCGGAATGGGGCCGCCTGGATTGAGAGTGTTTCCTGATTACTGCAATTAACAGGCGAACAACAAATGACTCACAGACGGACCGAGTGGGTGAGACAGACAGTAAACGCGTTTGGCGCTGCAAAAAGTGTTGCCGTTTCGCTACAACAGACTTCGTTCTCATTGAGCCGGATCGTGTGTTTTGCGCGCCGCTTACGCTCCCCGCTTTTGATCCGTTACCCTTTGAACACTTGATCGACGGAGATTCAGCCTCAAACGCTTGATATTGAATGATAAACACCCAGCCCTGGATTATTATCCTCCTCAGTCTTTCTGACCCCTCGATTCTGTTCGTTCCGACAGAGCAAATCCCAACTACTGAAGTACAGCCACTGACACTCTTTTTCGTAAGGCGCTGCACACATAAGTATCGAATTGCCAAAAATCCGTATTTAATGACATAAAGATTCCGTTCATTCGACGACGATTAACTTAGAAAATATATCTTCAAATTTTGTTAGACATTGTCGCGAATTTATTGGGAGTGGAGCTGTCTGTGCGGGCGTGTGTGTGGATTATGTGGACCGTTAGTAAAAGATAGCTTAGTTGGAGGCGAATATACTATAGACCAAAGCTTGAGATCAGATGGATCTCTATCGGGCACGATCCTCACTGGTTCGTTTTGCGCTTCGTGCGTGCGTTCTACTACTGTTCCTTATAATTTACAAGTACTTCAATGATCGTTCGTGAGAGGCGACCTCAACCTAATACAGGTCCACAGAACGCTAAATCGGAATAGCAAATAAGTGTAGTGTATCCTGGAACTGCCGCCCTACCGCAAGTTGACAAAAAAACAAAACAGCGTATTACCTTTAAGTGATATGAGAGTTTAGGCGAGGTTATTCGTAACTGATCACTGTATCATGCAGAAATGCGAGTTATCAGTGGGACTATAAGCTGAGCAACGAAAAGCTTTCTCGTTCTGGCAACCCTTTCGCAATCTCGTAACAAATTGTTTTCAAAAAAGAGTTAAAACAGGAAAAACTGCTATGATCAACTTTGCTTCTTAACATTAAATTGTGGCAATCACGTTTATGACCTTGATATATGTGTCCTTGTGTGTCTTCATGTGAAAAAGTCGATGCACTCCGCATCGTAGATCGGCTTTTTTTAAGTTTAAGAGTACTCTATAATTAGGTGGATTCAAGTTCGCATCATGCAGGCAAACTGACACCGGGGTGAGGACGGCCATTGAATTGCCTCACGCGAGTCACCGGATACACGCACACCGTGCTAGTAATGCCCGGCTGCTAGTATACAAGTACTAGGTCTGAAAACGAGCGTGTACGCCACCTTTGCCTGCTCCTATCGAGACAGCCAGATATCATGGAGGCTGACGCGACAACGAGTGAGCTTCCCTTGACAAGCACAATACAACAAACCGTTAATTTCTTTAGGCATACGGTTACAGCTCCCGTGCAGACGGAAAACACAATCTCATTAGCCACCGCAATCGAGGTAAGAGAAGTTTTGTGCCCATTTCGTACCGCGAATATCTTACTCTTAGCTGCATATATATATATATAGGTGACAGTGGAGTTATATGGGCTAAAATTTGCGTAACGTTATCGTTAACAATAATCGGGGCCACGGGGGGAGAAAAATAGGTTAGTGCATTAATAAAAGGCTTACCCATTTATATAGCCTAAACAGCCCCTGCTCGCAGCAGAAGATGGGACTATGTGGCACAGGAACAGATAAGCCGCTCCATTTTTTTAGGGCGAGAAACCGTTGACTTCAAATTTTAATATTATCTAACTACATACGAGTCAGAAGCTTGCGATTCTTTTCTATGACTAAATTTCAAAAGGTTGAACTTACTTTTACACATTTGATCACACTTTTATTAAACAATAAGGAATTCTTACCATAATTTTGAAACGTCATTCTGCGTACCAAATTAAAAGGAAGTTGCGTTTTATAAAAGTCACTACGCTGAACTATATTTCATATTGAGCAAAAGTACTCGTAGTTAAATGGGGTTATGTGTGTTTCGAGCATATATAAAACCACATGTCCTCAGTGCTAATTTTATAGAGCAATTGCAATTGCCAGCCGTCCTCAGAGTATAACTCAGTTTACAAATGTGTATATACGTATTTACGTCAAGGAGACATAAGTCTGCACCACACGTAGCTGTTATTAACAACACTAGACGACTTAATGGGCATAATGTCGACGTATGAACAACGTTTTTATGTTTTACAGGTTTATAATCAGGCTTCAGTGTTGGCTTTGAAAATTGTGGGCACATTGTTATTATTTCTCCACTCTTCTAGAACAAAATGCAACCCGTCCGTTACCCGATATCTGAGTCATTAGAGAATCGGCTGATTGTCATGTGAACCTGTACGAAACAAATTATAAGTTTCAACATAACCGTAAATGATTATAAAATATCAGTTTCTCTAATCATAAATAGAATAATTTTCTTTTTGGCTTTACGAAACGATTTAATTATTTGCATTAAATTATCAGTGATTTATTTTTACATAGCAAACTTTATTTTGCTACATGGGCCAACGGCATGGCGACCTTCAGCTGATATTTGCTTGAAAATTAAATAATTTTAGCTAGCCTACTTTGATCATATTATACAATAGTTTTTGACAAATTTTTTTATTTCCCGTAACACGAACTGCTTGTGTACATATAAATGAGGGTAGGATAGGGTGAAACGCTGTGTGTGTGTAATTCCTTTACTTTGATTTTTTGATATTCAATAATACCTTTAGATATCGTCAAAAAAAAATACTTTTTTTTGCTGCTTCTTTTGAAGTTGAATATGTTTAAGAAAGTCAACGGATTTAATAACTTCGACTACGTACAACTAAAACTGTTTCTGAATCTTGCCGCTTTCAAGTCACTTAAGTAAATAAAGTTTCAGTATGGCTCCCGTTACTGAATCCTAGGTTACTAACTTGGGCGGACACTGGATCAAAAGTACAGGTTACATAATATCTTTATCGTAATACTTCTATACTCAAAGTCGCTGCATATATAGATGACTTTTTCGCCCTTCACAAAAGCAGAACTTAACAACAGTGAAAGTACCCTATAAACCCTAAAGGTTAAAAATAGCTTAAATTAGCACATTTCGACAGCATTCAACTTGAGGGTTTTTAGCTATCACGGGCTTCTGGGTAACGCTTCTAGAAAATTATTAATAACGAATCAATTTCGATTGTTACAAAATAGGGTTTCTCATACAAAATATTATTAACTTCTGTCACTTACTAGGTGCCCAATATGTTTCATTTTATTATTTTAACGCATGTGTTAATTTACTCTGATTTCTTATAAAACACTAATATGCGAAACAATAGTTTATTTATGGAAAATAAAATGATAGTTGAGATTTTTTAAGTCATATTTATTGTAAGAACCTACTGCTTTTTTAAGTTTTCAGTAGCTTTACTTACGTAGCCCATTGGACAAGTAAAAATTAAAAACAAAAAAAAGGGACGAGTAAAATGATTCAGCCAATAATCGATGTGGAATGTAATATTGCTGAAAAGCATCATAGGTAATGGATATGAAACTGGGTAACGCCATTTTACGCCCAAAAGAAGACAATCTTTGGCTATTTCTCTTCCCTCTCCACCAGTCTTGTGTTATATGCCTTCGCTTCGTCCCGGGGCGTTTGCTTGGTCAACTCTGCAGTATCTCAATGAGCATAGGGCTTCGCTAATATACAAATGCTAACATTCGTAATAGAGCTTCGAAGGTGCCCAGTGCAGTTACTTTAGGTCGTATCGGATATATTTGACCTGCCACCTTCCTAAAATAAATACAAGGTATAATCTGCTCAGTGCCAAACAGTGATATACATGTATATTTATTTGAACCAGGAACAATCCACCCCTAGTTTTCTGCTGTTTTTCGTTTACTCTACAGTCACTGGTCTTCTAAAAAATCATCTTTCCCCGCTATGGACTTCAAAGCTTGTTGTAAGATTTTTCATCGATATTATCAGAATTGTTTCGTGCGCTTCTAGGGTAAAAATTCAGGACCTTGATATGTTTCTGAAAACGTTCCTACTACAGGAAATATATATATATATATATTTTTTTTTTTGTTGCCTATTTTGGCAGCGTTATTAAACTCTGATCAGAATATAACTTTTAATCACTGCCTAACTACAGCAGATAAGAGTTTGGCACTCATGATTAGTAGACAGAACAAAATATTTGTATAACGGTTAACACTTCCTAGCAATAGTGCTCCCGCGGTAGGTAGTATCAGCTATCGTTTGTCGGCCACCATATACACTGAGATTTTAACAGCCAAAATTTAAAATACTTAACCTGCGCCTAACCTTTCAAGTTCTAACATAAAGTTAGTATTAGTATATCAGGATGAGAAACCGCTAATTTTAAAGACGACTTATGTCTTTGTAATTTGTACTTGCATGCGTGTTTTGTGCGTTAGGAGGTAACTGGCCCACCTCTGCTGGCAACGATTCGAGACGGCCCGGATTGGGATAGCCACCGCACGACGCTCACCTTGACAGCTTGCGTTGCCCTTCTAATTGCCGTGTGCGGTTTCGCTGGCAACGTGTTAACCATAATTGCCCTCACTTCCAACAAAGGGCCGCCCGCCAAGGTACGCGATATTTCATATGGAAGAGGTGCTCGCGCATCCTTTACCATCGCTGCCAGATATGTCTGCATACTATCCATTAGGAAATGAGTCGACATAGTTTCGCGCCAATTTTAAACATCCAAACAGCTCAGTTTCCAATATGATTAGTGATGCTACAAGTACGAACTAGTCTTAAAAAGCAGCACCTGGAATACTGCAGTTCCGTGCAATCGATTTACACAGTCAATTACGAATCGTGCGGAATTACAAACGTAAATATTTGTATGCCATTGTAATTTATGTGTATCATAAGCATCCGACGAAAGGAGTCGGCACTATTTTCAAGTGCACCGCGTTATCCAATATGGAAGGCCACTTTTTAAGGACCCCGTTTCAATACTCGAGTCTGTCTTCAAAGTTCGTTCGATAAATGCGTTTAGTAAGGCATATCCTATTAGACATAATTTTTTTGCCACATGAGAGGGATCGCCGTGACAAATGAGAAAACAGGTGGAACATCGTTCTAACTGAAAAGCGCGTTATCACTAATTCAATTGATTCGCGACGTTATATATACAGTGGACGCGATATGTTCGACATACTTGTTTTACAATTTGTTGCATCTATAGCTATTTCTAGCCTTAACCGAACAAAGTTCTCGTGGTTTGACGTTCTGTTATGGAAGGATAGCGTTCCTGGAAGGTTGCATAGGAGTAAAAAAAAGTAAAAGTACAGTGCTTTCCAAACCGCTGTGCTTTTTTGGGTGTTGCTGTCTATAAATGAGACATCAAGACTTGCTCATGATTGACATTATATAGATGTATGTTGGAATTAAAGGTAATTATTTGTAGCGCAACCTTTTCTCAAATCGACATGCTTCTGCCATATGTTCCATACGCGTCTCCGTATGTATGCGTGTTTGTATGTATACGCTGCAAAGAGTACATGAATGGGTTGAGGAATAAAAAAGAGCAAGCAAAGGTCGAATAGGGTGAAAGTCTCTCATTAGCATCTGCGCGGATGTACTAGCTTGATAGAGGGGCTTCGAACGCTCGCCCAGGAAGAGACAAATATACGGTAAAAGGCAACGGCCTGTCGGTGTCTTTATAGGAGCAACCCATCAATCTTCTATCCGCCTAGTGCTACCTCAACGACATTCTTCTGCTCAATTTCAATTTGAAGTAAGATCTTTTCGGATTTATGAAAGGTGCTCGTTTGTCATCTGCGCCTTAAATGTGACGGCGGCATTGGGGGCACAGAACGTGGAAGAACGGGTGGTACATCTCTGGCAAAACATCTCTAGACGAGAGCAAAGGATTGGCAACGACCAGAAAAAGAAAGGGAAAAGGAAGAATTCATTTGATGTAACGATATATTCCCTTAAGATACAAGCGGCGAGAAAATTTTTAAGATAAACGTGTGGCCAAAGTGAGCTTTTCTTGTCTAGGAACAGCCGAAACCGCTAACTAAGAGTCTAGAATTAGAAAGTTTTGTCAAATTGTAGACAAGCTCCTTCTTATTTCAAGAAATGGCTAATATTTACTAAAAAAAAAAAAAAAAAAAAGCCTGCGGTATATGTGTTCAACTTGCGTCTTTCTCAAACTCAAGTTGGATAACTATTATGCTGTCGCAGCCATCTATTGTTCTTTTTAAAGTTTTTCGATTTGTGCAAGGAAGCTTAATGAAGAATCGAAACCATAAGACATAATTTGGCAAAAAAAGTTGAAACAACACCTTTAGTTTTGTGAAATGTATTTTTTCTTTTTTTTTTTTTTTTTTTTTAGAGCTTTGCCTATTTAACTCAAATTTGAAAGTTCTTTGTGGTGTTTAATCATCCTTATCTCGAATAACGCTATATTCCACAACGAATGTGATTAAATACGAAAGAATAATATTAGTATACCCGAAGTATTTTCGTGTGGCTTATGTAAAGGGCCATCAAAATATGTTAATTGGCTCAACTGCTTTTTACAAATGATTTCTGAATAAGTAATTTGTAATTTGTAAAATGATTTATTTTATATAGCCAGAAGTGTAACGATAATCGTACGGAAGCTTTCGCGATATGCGTAAAAGACGTTTGGTTTTTTTCGAAATTGCATAATGACACGTAATATTTTTCCCATATTTTTTATTTAGCGTGCTATTATCGCTAATCGTGTGAATAATTATCACAATGAGATGGTAACTAAAATATGTTTGTTAAATTCATCTAAGAAAAATACTGTTGCAATCTTACTGAGTACATGAAACGTTGCCTGTGGCGGGACTGTTTTCGGACCAGATGCTGCGATCAGGATCTTCAGCACGAAGAAAGTTGATCTAAGAAATCAAGGCTTCTATTTCCTTTATATACTATATTCCTATGTTTATAGGCCCCTTGTAGCTTATTTGTTTAATAACAGTAGCCCACGTAAGGGGGAGCACTTGTCAAAGACATATATCTTGGCGGCACGACAGTAGCCGTTGACAGCTGAAATTTTACCTAAATTACACGTATGACAAATATGTTGACGATGATGACGAAGGCCAAGGAACACATTTCTTCTTTTACGTATACACACATTGCTGCCCCCTACACACAAGTGTTCCTCCCGGTCCTGCTACTTACTATGTACAGAGCTACTCATGCGCGCCATCTGGTGCTTCGAATAAAATAACGCTCAGAAACGAACCGAGCACGGAAAAAAGGATACAGTACGTCAGTGAATAGGGAAGAAATCGGGTGGAAGTAACACCAACACCAGCTCAATACCCTTCAGAGACTAATCGCTTTGAGTCGCTTGAGTCTGTACTATCTGTTAAGGTCACTAGGCGGGAAAACAGTAATATTTGAGTGAGTGCATAGCCGGTACTTTGGTGAAGTCTCTCGGTCGGGCAAACTAACGAACGGATGGACAGGCAGACGGTCCGTTTAATTGAGCATAGAAGTAAGGTGACCTGGAACGGAATAGCTATAATAATAACAACATAAAAACTCCGCAAGTAACGTTGCCCCATTGCACCTGTTCGCTCCTTTCTTAGAACCGAACAAACCACTTAAGCGTTCAACAGGTGTGTCATAAAACCATTATAATAACAACAACGACTATTATAAGCCGAGTCTTCTCTACTCCTCGGCCATGGCTTGGCCCTGAACCCAGAGTCACGGGTACCTTCCGGAACTGAGTGAATGTCTAATCTTCGAAAGTGAGTCAGCCAACAGTTCATATAGGAGGCCTGAAATATCTATAAATATGATGTCTATATAGAGACTGTACACATATATTGTATACCAATAAACGATAGTCAAGGAAGATTACGGAATATCTGTCTACGCCCGTTATTGTACCCAATTTCATTGAGGTTCGCCCTTTCTCTTTTACGAGTCTAGCTTGAAATTGAGCTTGATGACTTCAGCCGCGATTGACCTTTTGCAACCTCTGCTTGCATGTATAGGTAGAGATTTCATGTGTAAAAAATTATTAAAAGAGCCTTGTGCATGCGTGATTCTAGCACGATCGTATATTTCTATTCAATTTTAGAACCTCACTGTATTATAAGAATACACAAAGGTTATCACCCACATATTGCCAAACTCGATTGGATTATACTGAATGTATTTTTGAAAAGCTCTTCTTAAACCTTATTCTCCCCTAAATTTAGTTAGTTATCCTCACTTACGAGTTTCTTCAGGGTCCTGACATAGTTTCAGGATCGCGGCCATTGCCCTTGAGGCGTTATCCTGCGTAATAGCAAAACAGAGAGAAGTAGGTCTCTCATCTAAATTTCGCCCGTGGTTCAATGTAAATAACGCAGCGTTAATCCTGCATAGAGTTAGTCTCTCTTTACATTTTAAAAGAGGACTTCAAAGGCGAAGAACATAATTATGGCACACATATAAGTGCTACAATAACTGTTAATACCGTTCACGGCTTGATATTTATTACAGTGTGCTAATGGCAGGATTAAACAAGCCCTTCCAACCGCTTGGACCGTTGAGCGCAGAGCTTTGTTATTTTGATCGTTGTTTAGATTTATAAAACTACGGAAACACAAATAGCTTTGTAAATAATGAGATCACAGTTACGATGGAGTAGGATGATTTCAGTCCACTTTGCAGAGTCCTGTAATAAAGCATTATTAAGGTAAGTATTTTTAGTTACCGTGTTATACAGAACAGTTCGAACATTATTCATTGGAGATTCCTCTCGATTTAGATTGTTTACATGTAATGGTATCGACAGCTATACGACAATGATACACACAAAACAGTTATTCATTAGGTTAGGATTTGCTCATAAACTGTTATTAATAGGTTATAATAATTAACAAATGACTACATCCGTTGTATTTTACCGCATCGAAACGACCCAAAAAACAAATTTGCCATTAGACCACAACTTAAATGCGCTATTATACGTCGTCCCTTTTTGTTGTATCATTCTCCAGTACAGACCTTTGCCTTTTCTATAGACACATTTGACCAGCTTGAATATTAGCGTTTATCGACTGTCCTTATCCGTATGATAGTCGAAATGAATTTCTAACAAGTTATTTACGAAACGAGAAGGCCGCGGCAATTTAGGCGAAGGGATGTATCACTTATGTACTCTTCCTCGCTGGCATCGTATGATTTGAACTGCACAGAGCCGATGCAACCGACGCCATGTCCAATAAAGTAGAGAACCGTGTTGCACACCATAACGAGTCTCTGTCGATGCGTTTCTATTGCTGGATTCATAGACCAAATATGTTTGCTAGCCATGAATACCAAGTGAACGAGACAATTTCGATCCTTCCCAACTAATGCAGGGATCCAAAAACATAGAGCTGCCGTCAGTACCATAATACAGTAGAGCAGCTGCAAACACACCCACGTTCAGTATGCAGTACGCGGGCACGCATTTACATGCATGGAAAGCTTTAAGTGTTCTGTGTTTCCATTATTTTCCACCTCTCACTTCAGCCAGTTAGGCCAGTTGGGCCAACGAAGGAACCGGTTGTCGTTTAAGCTGATCGTTCTGGTCATGGTGTTGCCT